CAAGACGGATGAGCCACCTCTAACCAAACCTTTCATTGGGCTTATTTAACTCGGTTGTATTTCGCGATTACACGTGTTGCCCACTACGCTGTGGTTATCTATGATACCCATGCTACCGTCATCGGTGAATTCTACTACGGTGACATTCCGAGACGGAGAGCTACGGCAGTTTCCTCTTCGTATTCTTATTCGGCCGCGATTCACATCACTAAGTAAGCTACACAATATCATCATCATCAGACAATGCGAGGCTGTCACTATCCCATTTGCTACCTACATTCTGCTCCTTGAAATCTACTGGTAAACTGCATGCCCTTAGCTAGACCAGCAGCTCAATACTAAGTAGCACGACGCTTAGAGAGCCGGTGCATCGAAGGATAGAGGTTCAATCCATCCATGAACTCTCATTCGTAGTTGGCGTGCGCGCGGAGTTTCCGAGCGAACTGTTTCATTGACATGGATCTATGCTACGGTGGCAAAGTATTGAGAATGCTTCCAGTTCGATGGACACGTGTGAATCCAAAGGTTATCAGTAGTTAGCCGCTTACGCATAAAGTTTGACATCTGGAGCACAATGCTCGACAATCGTCCCTCGTGTGATCACGGTAAACTATGCATCCGAAGAGAAATTACCCTGAAAAATCCGTGGCAAGTGAACAACCCCGACAATTAACTGACTAGCGATTATCATGATGTCAACAGCTCATGTTCTGCTCCACAGGTTAGTGATTAGAGTAAGCATAGCTATAGTTCCCATTGTTCATCAGCCATACTGAATTTAGCTGCGCTTATGAAAACGTATGTACTATGCGGATTGAAGGCGGAAGCGCAGAGGCGCCCACCAGAAGTTGAATTAGACATGGCCAATCTAAAGGGTAGACTAAGTAGAAGATAATGCCAACGGCAATGCTACGTCAGTGTCTTAGTATATTACATAGCGACAATTGTTTAGGAGCACCGAATGGCTGCACCCGAGACGCATGATGCAGATCGTTACCAAATAGCAGAGTACACAGCCGTAGGTGGCAACGATTGAGTACTTGGATGACAACCATGTTACTTCTTGGAAAATTACAAGGCAGTGTGAACACTGCTTTGAAAGCCGAATGTTCGACAGTAGGCAGCGGGACTTATTTGATGTTGTACTGCAGTCGTTGTCACGCCAAAGAGGTCATAAGCGGCGAATATGGGATAATACCACCTGTCAATGCTTAAGGTTGCGCAAAATGTGTTCTTTGAAAGACCGCACGAACCTTGAGCAGCAGATGATCGGACCGATGAAGTCTTAAGCGGTGGTCGGCGACACGGAGAGCCTGAAGTTAACACCCCATCGCATTTGCACGCTGTGCGATCTCTTTCATCAGCTCCGCAAGTCCAACTTCAAATATAGGAGGCAGCACCTCAATACGCTTTATTTTACTGTAACACTTAGTTATTTATTATTCTACCTGGTAACCGTACTGATGACAATTGCGTAAATATTCGTATATCGGTTTCGTTCAAATATTGATGCCCAAGATTAAAGGCTATCATTCACGTCGCACTGTTAAAGAAAACACTGACAGTTAGTATGGGGTACTTACTCCCATACGTGTGATTTCCCATCATTTGGCGAAAAAGTCTGTTAGCTTTATCTCCAAACCAAACCCATGTACGTTTGTAGAATTATTGTTCATGATGGTTAATGTGACTATCCAGCTCGTCGTAGTTAATACCCATGTTTGGACAAACGCATGTGCATATGTTGTATTCGCTCTGCCATTGGACACGGATGCCGCCAATCCATGTAAATCGAATGAATTCGACGAAGATACCCATACAGCTTTTGTACGACCAACTTAGTGTAGGGAAGCGCCACGCAGACGAACAGAAATTACGTTACCAGGACATGAACAAGGCAACTTGACCATGAACTAATGCTGATTTAAGGTGTTGGAAATCAAAAAATTGATCGGTGCGAATTCCGTGGGCTGGTCAAGAGGGCGATTGCTCAGGTGCACGAGAAGGCACTGTTGCACACAAAAAGTGCGACCATTCCGCTCCCATTAGATTTACTAATCCAGACCAATAAGGCGGCGGATGTGGTACGTTTGCCTGCGTGTTGAGTATTCTTGCATTTCAGGAGTTAAATGTTGATTGAGCTCCCCGATGTATCTGCACCTGATGTAAATGCACACAAGTTGCCTACCTGTCTATAACGCACCACCTCGTCCATATCCGCTCCAGGAAACAGTTGGTCGTTGCTGGAGGGGACGGAGCACACGGTACTCATGATGGTGCTAGGTTCGAAGAGTAGTTCCATCCTGCGTGGAACCGGCTACGGTGCAGCCACCGCCGTGTGTGCGATTGACCCCCAAACACAGCGTGCTCGTGTTTACCTGTGAGAGTGTGGGTCAGCTCCATTGATGAAACGTGGCTCCCATCCACATGCCTCCCGATCTTATTCCTTCGGGTTTACACCAGATACGGGGTGTGTGGGTGTGAAGCGCAAGCCAATAATAGTCCCTCTCTGAAGGCGCAGGCGTCCTATGGTTGCCCTATAGAGATCATAGTGTCAGGCAAATCTGGACACAGATGCCGTAAATACATGCATATATATGAAGTGGACTACATACTTTTACTCAGACACCTGAGGTAGCTCGGTCATGCGTGGCGTACGGATTCGACGCGGATGCTAAAACAATATTATATAGTCAGCTGAATATTGGGAAGCGGCATGTGGGAAAACGTTACCAGGACATGATCGAAGTGAGCCCCTCACGTTCTTGATTGCATATAATGGGAATCGAAAGTGGTTGACCAACGTGCATGGCGCGATCTGGTAAAGAAGGCAGTTGCCGAGGTGCAAGAGAAAGCACTCATGCATGCAGAAAAAAAAGCGGCAATTGCGGAAGAGACAGACGCCAAGGTTGCACTCCATCGACAGCGAGCGCATAGTGCTCTAGCACATGGGGTCGCGAGTGTTTGAGTCAGGAAGGTCTAGTGAGCCATGAGCGTTACCACTCGTGGCCACCACCGAAGCGACGACGGGTCTTGCAGAGAACGTAGGTAGAACCGGCGCAGCGTATGTAGATATGCTGCATTCGATTTAGTAACCGCGTACTTGCATGCTGTCTCTCTATTTCAGATGGTGGGTTTGCTATATTGTCCTAACGCTTTTATATCTCATATTAATGTCTACCTGAACTATATTCTATAAACTCGCACACGTCACTTAAGCTAATTGTAGTTAACTTCGATAACTTTTTTGCATTTGTGGTATTTCCTTAAAATATATATTCTGACGTCTTGAACTTATCGCGGATATGTTCGTACCTAATTTCTTAATAAGCTTATTTAGTGAAGAGTTATGTTATCGTATCCGTATGCATCATTCGATTTATTTAATCTGATATCGTCGTTTCAAGTGACTGCCTGTTGCATGATATCCCAGGTCTGGCTGCGCTTGATGTGCATGTTGACAAGGTGCCTACCTGTCTATTACCCACTACCTCGTCCATACTGGCTCCAGGAGACAGTTGGTCGTTGCTGGAGGGGACGGGGTGCACGGTCGTTGTGGCCATGCTAGGCTCGAAGAGTGGTTCCATGCACTCAGTGTGGAGCGGACTACGGTCCAGCCACCGCCTTGTGTGCGCTTGATTCCCCAAATACAGTGTGCTTGTGTTTGCCTGTGAAGGAATGTGGGTCGGCTCTGATGATGAAACGCGGCTCCCATCCACATGCCTCCCGGTCTTATTTCTTCGGGTTCACACTGGATATATGGTATGTGGTTGGAGCTGTGGGTGGTACAGCGCAAGCCACGCATAGTCCTTCTTTACGCGCAGGTGTCCTGTGGCTGGCCACAGTGACAGACAAATCCGAAACCGGATGCCGCTAACTATAAATATATACATATATATATATATATATATATATATATATTGCAGAAGAGTAGTAGGGGGAGTTGAATGGTACAAGTAGAAATTCATCACATCTAGACTCACTCAGATAGCCGTCACACGCCCGGAAAGGCACTGTACGCGCATTTCATCCTTTCGGGAATCGTCAGCATTGCGCATTCCATCGGACCCTGGTAGGGTTCGAACCCTCAACTCGACTGTTGCCAGTCAGTGGTTGGTCCACCGAGGTACGGGGGGCGGCAACGACTATCGTAGATAGGTTACTAAATAGGGAGCGGCGCTATATCGCATCTAGTAACTTATTTACGATAGTCGTTGCTATCCCCCGTAGCTCAGTGGTCTCAACCACTGACTGGCAACAGTCGAGTTGAGGGTTCGAGCCCTACCGGGGTCCAATGGAATGCGCATTGCTGACAATTCCCGAAAAGATGAAATGCGCGTACAATGCCTTTCCGGGCGTGTGACGGCTATCTGAGTGAGTCTAGATGTGATGAATTTCTCTCTCTCTCTCTCTCTATATATATATATATACATATGTATATATATATATATATATATATATATATATATATATATATATATATATATATATATAGACAAAACGCGACTGACAGGCGTGTATCCCAAGCAAAAAAAGCAAACGATCGTGAACGAGCTCAAAAGGTCGTTTGCATCGCGGCATGTCAATTAGAAAGAGGCGATCGTGGCACTCAACTTCTACCAATAGATGATAAGATATCTAGACTCGACCTTGCATCACCGGAGTTTAATTGTAGTTGTCATAATTAAAAGCAAGGCCGAGTAAACAGATGGACACGGTGCGGAAATGGTTAAAGTCGAAAAAGATCTACCGTTTAAGATCGCGCGACGCATTCAACAGCTCGCCTAGACACAAGCCGAGGTCAGAAAGGTCTCATGCATACAAGAAGAGATGGTAGACATTGTAGGCAAGGTGCAGCTCCAGGATTATATGAAAATTAACGAGTTAGGTTTATCTTGAAAGATAAAAGCGCAAATCATGTTGTGAATTAAGAGGACGGTTTGTCCGACCTAGCTGTGAAGTTCCCAAGCTGATAGGGATGTGTGCAGTAGTCTATCATAGCAAGAAGGAGAAGCCCGAAAGGGATAGATTCCGAGTATACTTACAAAAATGTGCGGAAATGACGTGGTCTTGAAAGAAATCACAAAAATCAGGGAATGGAATCGGAAGAGAAGGTGCACAAATCTGTGGCATATTCATGGCAGAAAATCATGTAGGAATGCAAGTGAAAAAAATACACCAAGAAAAAAAACGCTAACTTAGAAAAGTAGGGAAGCATGCATGGCGAAACGGGGGGAAAATAATCGCAACCGAAGCGCCATAACATCGGAATGAGGGATTGCACCGAAAGTTAGACAATGAGGCTATTTACATGGGGCAACGAGAGCAGTGCTATGGTTATGCTCTCCGTTTCTCTAGAGTACGGCTTCTAGAATTGCCCGCCGCTTTTGTCAAATCAGGAGGTGGGCGATCAGGACCTGGGGAAAGAAAACGCCGCCTGCTGTCGGCAGCCACAGTAGGCGACTTGTGCTGTGACGTGGAGGACCGTGTTTGACGAGTGATTGAGACGTTGTGACTGGGTGGTGAGTTTAAGGGTTCGGGAGTCACACAATGTACAGAAGGGCACTCCATGTTAATTGAAGGTGAACTCGTAGTGTGCCGCATATCGACTACGGTGAGATCACTGCTTTCGCTTTCGGATTCCACAAAGTATGCACGGGAGATGTAATCACGAAAAACGTCGGATACCGTTTCATCCGGCATCACTTGATTCGAGTCCTGTAACAGAAGGAGTTCATGGATAGAACAATAATAAATTTCGCTATTAGGGCAAAAAATAAGCAATTTAACACTGGAAGGAGAACCCACTACGATGAAGAGGCGGGTGGATGCGTGGGGACATGAAGTGACGGAGCCACTGAAACCGAAATAGGTTGTGCGATCTATCGGTAATTAAAAATCAGAACTCAGGTCCCACTTTCCCTTTTAGCTAAGCACGATGATTCGATTAGTGGTAGTGATAACTAATAGAATTCAAAATGAATTTAAACAAAGCACACGAAGACAAGCGTAAAACAGCGGGAACGAAAATAGCATACTCATGAAATGAGACACAACTAAGAATGTGATTTGTTATAACCAGATTTAGTAAATCTACGATAAAGAGCCCACAAAAACACGGGCCATCAAAATAATTTTACAAGTATCGTTCATGGAAATACGTTGAGATGTAGTCAAATGCTGCAGGCCACACGGAGCCAATTAGGTGGCAAGCAACCCACAAAAGGTTACAGGCAACACGGAGTCTCGTAGTGATTGCACATTAAAAAGTGTGTGCTGGCGATAGATCCATTCGCTTGTCACACTGGATCAACTGACTGTGTTGATTGCCGGTTCGTAATAGCGAGGTGACGATTCAACGCTACAAATGAAAAGTCAAAAACTGCACATAGCTGAGGATTTCAGCGGGGGGGGGGGTAACAAGGCTACTCAGTGCAAGACATGGAATTCCAAAAGGGCTGATGTTAGTTGAACATCCGGAACCAAAAGCAAAAAATTTTGCCTATGGAGTAAAGATGTCCCTGGTTCCATCAGACGCAAATGTTATGGCGAAGATGCAGCAAGAGTACCAGTCAGAAAACCGGGTGTTATATGTAAGGTCTGATAATTATCCACGCGTCTGAGTCCACCGATCCAATTCTTCAGATACATTATGATCACGAGGAAGTTTTTACAGAGCCTGGTTTATAGGTCTCTTGATGTGGGTGGGGAGGGGGTGAAAGTGAAGCAAGTAATTGGCCTCGACAAAAGCACTGCTGAGAAGGACCGATCTAGCTGGTACCCACTGCACACGAAATCACTCCGAAGCTAATCCCATATCGGCTAAGTAGGCTGAGGAGTGAAAATGTGCATATTCGTCAGGATATGATTCCAGCTAACCGAAAACGTCTAAAGTGCGCTATCATCGAGCTAAAGCAGCGAACCGGTGAAGGAGAAACAAACTTGTGTTTAGCAAATTTCCAGATGGTTACAAAATGGACGCAAATTCGGATGAACAGGTCGTTCCCTCTTCAGGCATGCGCGATAGTCCCTACCGCAACCTGCGTATAGCCCTTTCCAACGTCTGCAATCTCATGAACAAGCGTGATAAGCTGTGCCGCTTCGCTGATTTCGAGTGACCAGATGTAGTGGGGCTTGCAAAGACGCAGAAGTCGAGCTTACTGGCTACTTGTGCTCCCGTTAGACATAGGCTACTAAATATCAGCGGTGGCGCATTGCTCTATATCCGAGCTACTCTGAGAGGTAGACATATGAACGATCACTACAGCGAAAACGGAAAATGTGAGCAGTTGTGGTGTTTGATCTATCTCACACGCTACGGCTACTAGGGCGCGTATTTTCTTCAAATAACCCCGAGGAACACGATAACGGTGGACCGCAAAAATATATGACAGTGCTTCAACAACTGAGGCAAACTGAATATGTGATCAATGCATCTCCGACCGCGACGAAACCCAGCTTGATTCCCACGAATCTGGCTTTCACGAGTGACAGTCAGTTTGTGAAGGATTACAGAGGCAAGCAATTTGGAGGCTATGGTTGTCGCATTCCGAACGCGAGCCACCGGTGAAAATCGGGAGCGGCTCCAGTCAGTTGGGACAGTTTCCTGTTTCCACAATTTCACTATTAATTCGTGTAAATCATCCACAAGAGCAAGGCCCCCGAATTTGAAGAGGGCTGGAGGAAGATCATCTGGTGCCGCGGCCGTATACAACTCTAACATTCCGATCTCACGTTCGACTTCTGAGAAAGAGGGCGGATCCAAAGGGACAGCCCAAGGAACAGGGCGATCATTGGTCGCCGAGAAATCTGACAATTCCGACCGATTGAATTATTTTTCAAAATGCTCAGCCCAACGCTCCAAGCGTTTTGACTAGTTGTGGATAGACTATCCACTCTCGTCACGTATAGTTTCACTACCACCAGGTCTCCTGCTGCCAGATTTCAGTATCAGACAGAATAACTTCCGTTGGTTACCAAAGGCAGTGTTCATTTTCATCTCTGACACACGATGAAACCACCAAAATTCGCAGCCTCTCTCCAGGCTAGCACGGAGTTTTGCCCGGAGCGAGTTTCATTGTGTTCGCTTCCAGTCAGAATGTGCCGGCGAGCATTGATAAGTTCCAGAGACTGCGAAGAGACCCAATGTTCATCATTGTCTATTAAACTTACCACATGAAGACTGCCTGTTGCTAGCAAGGTCTGGTGAACATGTGATCAGGGACCTATAGTGGTATTCCGTGAGCGCATACTCAGCCTAGATGTCAGCGTACTTCGATCCGCATTCAGAACACCTGGCTTCGCCGGTTGGCTGGTGTCTATGCGCCCACAGCATCGTCGCGAGCGTCCGTCAAAACGCACCCGCAGATCAGCACATACAAGTGCATGAACAGTGTCCACACATGTGCTCCAAATCCAGCGACAGCTCTGGACGCAGCCACTCCAGCGGAAACTGATCGCGATGTGATCGATCTGCGCCCATGGCTGGTTCAAGGTTGGTGGACGCTGTCACCTTAAGATGGGTGCTGTGTCGGAAGTTAGCGCCCGAGAAATAAACGAATATCTTCACACAATGAAGTAACCGCTCACCGTTACCAATACGGGAGCCTACACCATGTTGGCCGCCCAGATGCAGGTCATCAGTGGACAACACCCCAACTTAAGCGTTCAGATCCCCAGCCAGCACTACAGTGTCCAAGCATCTTCTGTGGCGAAGGACCTCGTTCAGTTGGCGATAAAAGTCACCTTTCACCGAGTCATCGCTAAAGTTTGTGGGGGCACATGCAGCGATGACAAATAGACATCTATTAGTCCTGCGCTACTTAGAAGCGTTGAACGAGCCAGATGGACCGCACACATCCGGCTACTGGTTGGGATCCAAACAATCAGAGCAGCTTCAGCCCAGGGACTCAGGGCAATACCAACATCTACTTGGACGATACTCGAAGCTGCGTCGTCTCTCGATAGCCGCAATGAGAAAGCACCGCTAGTGTCATCTGAAGGTGATCTCGAAATGGGAATGGAGCGATTTTCCGATAGGAAGCAGATATCCATGATCGGGCAAGTGATGCCCGGTGACCTTGAGGCATGCAAATTTGAGGGAAGATCAGGGGATCCAAATAGAAACCGACGAGCTGGGCTTGACCGCTTGGTTAGACACGGGCTTGTCTATAGGGCGAGAGCGATGATCCGCTTTTGCACGTGAGTTGAAACTAGAACGTGGGGGTGGGAAGAAGGCCAAGAATTGAGGGGTTGAAAACGAAGAATAAAAGGGAAGTAGGAACGGGACGATAAGGGTGTAAAAGCCTAAGAGGAGGGAAAAGAAGATGGGAAGGCCAGATCACTAGTATCCACATGGCTCGATGCAACAGATAGGATACCATTTATCAATATATATATATATATATATATATATATATATGCGTTGAGACATGAAAGCAAACCCACCACCTGAGATAAAGAAACAGCACGCAAGCACGCCGTTAGTAAATCGAATGCAATGTACCTACCACAGCTGCGCCGGTTCTGCCTATGATCTCTGCAGGACTCGTCGTCGTTTTGATGCTTGTCCCCAGTGGCCTCGCTCGTGGTTCACTAGGCCTGCCTGACTCAGGAACTAGCGACCACGTGTACTACAGCAGCAAGCGTTCGAAGTCCATCTGCGACTGTCGCTTTTTTTCCACATGCACGAGGGCTTTCTCTTGCACTTCGGCAACTGCTTTCGTGATCAGATCGCGCCATGCACGCCGATCAACCGCCTTCGACTCCCAACACCTGTAAACAACATTACAACGCGATAGGCTCACGTTGATCATGTCCTGGTAACAAAGCTTCGGTTTCCTTACATACCGCTTCCCCACATTCAGCTGACCATATAATGGCTGCTTCGGTATCCGCCACACATGACCGAGCCACCTCAGGTTTCTCAGAAAAAGTATGCAGATCACTGCATACATTCCACTTCTGCGCAACATTTGCGTGTCCGCAACTCTGTCGCACCAACCGATGCGCAGACAGTTGGTGAAACCATTCGAGATAACGCACATCCTACCGGTACATCATCCAGGTTTCACTGACGTACAGAAGAACGGAGAGCACCACGGATTTTTAGACCATCAGCTTCGTGCCAACGGTAAGCTGATGGTTGTTCCATACTCGGTACTCTAGATTCCCGAATGCCGCCGCTGACTTCGACACGCGGATACGAAGCCCACTGTGAAGCTGCTGATCAGACGAAACCACACTCCCAAGGTAGCAGGAGCGAGAGGTGGTTTCTAGTACATCAGGACCCCTGCTGATTTTCGGCAACATTGTAGATTGCACTTCTGGTGAAGGCTGAAAGAGACAAACAATTTTGCTTGTGTTGATGGTGAGAACGAATTTGGCTGCTATCGAAGCCAGAGCAGTAGTCATGTGCTGCAACTCATCCGCGCTGGGAGCAAATGACGAACAGTCGTGAAAAAACAGCAACTTACGGATAGTTGTCTCACAGACTAGGGTTCTCGCACCGAAACGACGGATGTTCAGCAACCCAACATTAATACGGTGCTCCACACGAACACTGTAAGCACAAGCCGCATCAAAAGCACAAGACATCATAGCATGAAGATAAATATTAGACAGGGTAGGAGCTAATACACAGCCTTGCTTCACACCAGAGACAACTGCAAAGTCATCCGAAGTCTCTCCACTCAGCTACACCCACGCCCGCATACTAC